TTTTTTTGTCAGTGTGTTTGATGGAATTTCAATATACTTATTGCTAACTCAGTCTCAACCCACCTAGAATTATACAAGTCTCATATTAATGCCTTCTAACTCATTCAACATTCTGTCACGATGATCTCATTGAATATCTCCTGGACAGTTTTGACCTGCTCTTTGGGTCAGGTTGCATTTCTAATCTATTTAATAAACCATTTTTAACCTATTTTCTACCTTATGTTCCTCTCCTCCCCCACTTCACCATGGGGCCCTCATAATATTTATTGATGTCCACTAGTTTTTCACAGAATTTTATGTTATTAGATCATCTGTAACGTAAATATCCAGTATTTGTTTATATCATTCTGCCTTGCTTCACCACATAGGATTTTCTCAAACTGCCTCCTCCATTTATTGAAATGTGTTCTATTTCCTCTTTCCTTATGGCCAAGTAGTATTCCAGAGTGTGGAGAGACCACATCTTGATCCAGTTATGTTGTTTCTTTTAAGGGTTTCTTTTTATTGCATTGTGTGTTTCCTCCAACTTTAAATGGTTTTTGTTTTTACTGCTTCAATGTTGGAAAAGGAAATCTTTTGGCTTAACTGTTTCTTCAGAAAATCCTTATGGCGTCCTTACTGCCTCTCTACTTCAGAGGAACCAATTCCTTAGAATTCAGAATTTTAAGGTGTGTGGGGGAGGGGGAGATGGGTCCCTTTCTTTTTTCCTTTATGCTGTGTTTATGCCTTTTATGATATCCTTTACTCCTGTTTTCCTTTTACCTTTTATCTGACATTTTAAGTCAGGTGTCTCTGGATTTTTGTTTTTTTGCAAATCGTATTTCATGCTTTCTTCATTAGGTGATCAATGACACTTGGCAAAAAGTAGATGCTTGCCCAACCCTTTTTTTTTTTTGGCTTATTTTGTTTTGGTGTTTTTTGCTTGTTTTATTGTCCCTTACTTTGCTTTGCAACACACTAAATTAAGGCTGAGAGCAGGGACAGCTTTAGGCAAGTTGTGGTGGCGATATTGCTGTTCCCATTATGTAGGTCTATTTGCATCGATACTTTCTATCAGACAAAAAGAGTCACAGATACACAATGGAAGAAAAACAGGGAGGAGGGAAGACGCAGGTACAGAATATACATCTACTTTATATAGAAAGCATTCACAGAACCGCGCCTCTCTCTGCCTTTCCCATGTTTCAAGGTGTCCATTGCACTGTGGGGCCACCCGGGTCACCCGGAGCCAAAGGCAAAAGCGGAGCTCCTGGAGGAAAAGGCTCAAAAGGAGAAAAAGGCGAGTATGTGGCTAAGGCAGTCTCTAGAAGAGACAACGCTCAGGGCTGGCAGGCACTTCAGGAGAGTACAAGGTGATTCTTCCTCACATAGTTATACACAAAAGTGCCCCCTAATTATGTGCATATGATTAAAAGTCAACAGAAAGTCACACTCCAACATCTTGAGTGAAAAAGGACCACCGTATGTGGTGGAAACGGTCTCACAGTGGTGACTTCAAGCATCCTCTTGACTCCTTGACGCTGGCAGAGCAGAGACAGCCATTGGCTGCCCTCTGCCGGCCACGTTTCCCATGTACCTCAGCGGTCTTTGGCGCCGCGTTTCTCCATTTAAATTCTTGGAGCCTTTTGGCCGACTGAGTCCGATCGGTATGAAAACACTTAATGCAACTGGAGAGGCTGACTGCCCGAAACACCGTTTAAGAATAAGAGTCTGACAATGAAAACATGCCTGTTGACAAATTATAAATGCAATCCCTCCAATGATCCCTCTTCACATTTTATTTTGCAAATTGTTCAGAGTTTATTCCCGAATCAGCTTTTTTTCTTCTTTTGGGTTCTTCAATAAGAACCAAATAAGAGACTTTAAAAATGTTAAGAATCTTTTTTTTTTTTTTTTTTTTGATGCTAGAATCAGGAATCAGCTTTCCCCCTAGGGTTTGAAAGCACGATTTTATAAAGACACAAACACTCCATTTCTCTGGAATCAGTGTGCCCACCCCATTTAGTCCCCAGCTCTGTGCCCTCTGCCCCCACATCCAATGTTATCACTTGTCTAGAAGAAGAACTACATATGCCCTGGGTCCTCTTTGTTCTTATTTGCACTGTGGGTTTTATACAGTAATTGCTTTTAGGGGATTTTACTCTGGAAAGATCACCCAGCTGCCTTTGTCTTTTGTCTAGGAAACGAGGGGGACTGTGCCTGTGAGCCTGGTCCCAAGGGCCCCCCAGGTCCTCCAGGGCCCCCTGGGAGACCGGGGAGTAAGGGAGACTTGGGGCCCCCTGGATGGCCTGGCGAGAAGGGTGACCCGGGCCCCCCTGGAGCAGAAGGATGTCCAGGACCTCCAGTGAGTACCGAGCTACTGTTACTAGTGACAGTCTTCCTAGTTAAAAAAAGACCGAGGGGGAATTCTATTGTACCTCTTTCATGTATCTTTGTGTCTTGAACCTACAACTATATTAATGACCAGAGAAATCACCTGCCTGCAAGCGTCTGCCTGCAAGCGTCTGCCTGCTTCAGACTTGCCCGGGAACCTCTCCCCTTAGGGGAGGACTCACGTAGCAGACAGACGTGCAAACATGTGATGTGGCAGGTGCTGATGACGCCCAAACCATCTACTACTGGGTGGGGTGAGTGGGTGAGGGGCAGGGGGGGACGTGAGAAAGTCCAGGGGCTGCCGGGGCTGCAGAGCCTGGGCTGCGCGGGTGGGCTGGTCTTGGGCTTGCCCCGGGATTGTCCACATGGCCGCGGAGAGCTTCCAGAGACAGACGTGACGTGACGTGACGTGACGTGTCGTGACGTCACTGAGTGCATCACCCTGAGAGCACCGTTGAGAGCAGACTGGGGACGCAGGGCAGAAGTGAGGAAAGAGCTGTTGCCTTCATCCTGGTGAAATGATAGGGCGCTGGCGTGGTGGGAAGAGGTCAGCCTCAGGGGCTGGGGGCAGCAGGCAGCAGGCTGTTAGGCTGGTCACAAGCGGGAGAAGACACGTGAGGATGGAGCCATGGAAAGGAGATGGGGGTGGGGCGAGGTGGGGGGACCGGCGGCAGGCTGCTGAGGGCGTTTCAGTTCTAGGTAACTACTGAGTCAAGTGGGCAGTGGGATGATGTTCAAGCAGAGGATTCAGCTGAGCAGTGGAGGTGGAAATACTGGCTTTGTCTGAATCTTTGTTCTGGCTGGTGTCAGGCAGGCAGTGGCTGAGAGCCCTCTGGCAAGTTTCTCTCCTGGGGTGCCAGGGAGTGACACGGGCACAGCCTTGCAGTGACTGGCTCACCTGAGCAGCAGCCCTGCCCACTGAGTCAGGAGGGGGCGGTTCCAAGTCCTGGCGTGACCAGGAGCCTGACTCCCCTCTCCTAATCTGACAGTGTTCAGTGACAGGGATGACGACACTCTCCCGTGTGGCCTTTGTCTCACTTGCAGTGACCACGCTAGGGAAGCGGGTCCTTCGTGGACGTGTGTGGAATGCACAGAGTGCAATTATGCAGTACTTTGCATTTTTGAGTCTGATGTTTTAATTCAACCTTTTATTATAGTCATTTTTTTCATGTTGCTACTTTATTTTCTTTCTTTCTTTTTAAAGATTTATATGTATTTATTTATGCACACAAGAACTGGGGTGTAGGCCAGAGGTGTGGAGGGTGCAAGGACTCACCAGAGACAGACCAGGGAGCAGATCCACTGAAATCCTCTGCTGAGGGGAGCAGCGGGGAGACAGGAGAGGTGCTGTTCTGCTACTTAATTTTCTTAAGGAAGATTTTATTGGCACTGGAAGTTTGTTGCTTATATTGCGTTGCTTCTTGGGCATATTTGAAGTAGATGATCAGCTCATCCGGGCTTCTGGTGAAGGCTTACGTCATTCAGTTTCAGCGCTTTGGAGTCTGGCATGTATGTTGATGCATGTATTTCTGATGTCTTTGTTCTGCACACGATTCTGGCCTTACGACTTCTCCACACTGAATTCACCCGCGTTGGTCACAGCGAGGGGTCAGTTCACCCATCAGGGCACTATGAAAGGAAAGGCTGGAGGAAGGAACAGGCAGAGGACAGAGCAGGAAGGAACTGCGACCCCTCCCTCCGGGTCCCTGCTCCTGTGGTGTGTGCTGTCTCATCAGGGGGCCTCGTCTCAGCAGCTAAAGATTGGCATTAAATAGAAAAACAAAAAGTACGTTTCAGCTCTTGGTGATATTTCCCTCTGTGAATGGAACGAGACTTTGTCTTTAACGCCTTGACCCAGAGTGCTCCCTGAACAGAGGGAGGATTAGGAGGCGAATCCAGCCTCAGGCCTCAACTCAGACATGGGGTGTTGGGGGATGGGGGGTGCTCCCTGGGTTCTTAGCGCCTGTCTCTCAGGGCTGCTGGTCAGAATTCAGTTCAGCGAACTATTTTGAGAGCTACAAATTACACAACAAGTGGACGAGACGGCCCAGGGTTATAGACCCTTCGAGGCTGCAAACCAAAGGTCACAACGTACTTGGCCTAAGTGGGACTTGCCTGTGTATGTGGTTTACTCCTCATGGTGTTTTTTTCTTGGTTCTATTAGTATGAGATTTATGGTTTCCTTCAGAAATTGGAAATTCATTAAAATAGGGTCAATGCTTTTCCAGGAAGTCGAGGGATGGCTGTGCTAATGTGAGGGGTTCTTGGGTGCTTCAGTCCCCACCATGCCCATATGTCTGCTTCCCTCAAAAGGCATGGCCCTTGTGGGCATCTGCGGCTGAGGGCCTTGGCCTAGACCTCATGTGAAACAGTAACTGCATGCCTGGCAGAGAGGAAATCTTCGTTGCTGCTGGAAGTTTGTTGTTTTAGGAACAAATGTGTTTAGAGACTTCATAACTTAGAAATTGTGAAAAGGAGCTATAGAGCCCCAAAGCAAATGGGATCCTTTGCTCAGGGAATCTCTCAGATCCAACATTTGTTTTCCTGGAACCTGGGCATCGTGAAGGCAGGACAGTCCTTTAACTGCTGTGTCCTCAGAACCTGAAATCACACCTGGCTTTGTGGGTTCTCCTCTCTGTAGAAAATACAAAGACTGGCTACTAGGTTAGTTTTTTTCTTATTAGCTCAACGAAGTCTATGATCTGACTCTGTCACTTAAAATTCATCAGCAGAGGGACCCTCCCTGGTGGCGCAATGGGCTAAGAGGCAGTGCTGCAAAGCTGGCTGCAGCCATTTTGGTACAAGTTTGATCCCCAGCCTTGGAGGTGACCCACATGGTACAGCAGACCTCTTCTGTCTCCCCGCTGCTCCCCTCAGCAGTGTACTTCTTGGATCTGCCTGTTCTGCTCCCCACTCTGTCTCTGGCGAGTCCTCTCACTGTCCCTGCACCTCTGGCCTGTACCCCAGTTCTGTATGCATAAATAAATAAATCTTTAAAAAAATTCATCAGCAGAGCATTAGAGCAATTTATTCTAGGTCTCTAATGTGCTAACAGATTAGCTGTTTAGACTCCCAGAATGTAACTGCCCTTGTAGGATGCTTATTAAAAATCCCACTGTGTGCTTGTCTGGAGAGAAATTGGTTCAAATGTGATATGAGTCCCTTTCTTGTAGAATGGGCAATCTGTCACTCAGAAGGATATTTCCACTACCCACACACGCGGGCCCTGCCCCTTTTCAACTTAAGACTTATCATAAAAGTATGAATGGAAAAGTCACCCCATATAAACACTTCATTTCTCGAGTTCCTTTACTGTCAAGTTTCCTAACTTAACATTTTTTACTTTGTTCCACCCACATTTTTGATGTTTCATAGACATGTTCACCCACCCACAGGATGTTATTCTAGAATGATGGTGCAGCGAGGGAAGCTGAATGATGTGTGTGGAGCTGGGTTTCTCCCTGCGTTGTTAAATGTCTCTCACCCATTGGTCTACTTGAGTTTTCGTGCCTATTGTGTGCATTTTTAGCTGCTTCCTCACTTCCACGCATGATGCTGCTATCGTATTTATCTCTACAATTTGCTTTACCCCTTTGTAGCTTACTGCTATGAACTAGTAGAGATCAGTAAAAAAAGATAAGTTTGCTTGGGCATATTGGTAGACTGTATGAAATAAGATACTTTTTTACATTCAAATTCTTAGATTGTTTCTTGATTATTGAGGTCATCAGATCAGTAAGAGTAGCTCTATATAGCATTTGTGTATTTTATATGATAGCTGGGCACTGTAATATACATAAAGTGGATTTCCAGATTTTTGACAGGATTTGACATTCAATATGTCCCACTTAGAAACCATGACCCCAACAGTCTAGCCTCAGAGCAATGTCAACGTCAGGAGATGAGATGTTCATCAGTCAAGACTAGCTCTTTATTTGCTAGTCAGAAGAAATATGTCAATACAGCAAATGTTCTTCTCCTTTTCTTACTCATAAGCTTCCCTCAGAATCAAGTCACATTCATCACAAACTCATTCCTAACCTTCTAACTTTAGCACAAGGGGCAGCTCTTCTGATTAAGCTCCTCTCCTCTTCCTTTCCAACTCTACAGCACAAATCTAACATTAAAAAGTTTTGCTTATAAATTTTCATCTTGGGATACATTTTTTTACAGCTCCAAGAAATTCCACAATCATAGAAATCATGCGTCCCTCCCCCAGCTTCCCCCAATGTCATCCTATGTAACCAAAGTGCTTTCCCAGAATTCCTATTGGTACATTTCTATTGACTCAAGCAAGGACTTTATTTGGATTTCACCCATTTTACAAATAGTTCAAGAGGCTCAGGTTTGTAAGGAAGAACCCACCTTGGAAGTCAGAGAAGAAAAGGAGATCAAGAGTATCAAACTAGTATCTAGAACTATTGATTTAGAAGGAAAGAAGAGAAAAGTTAGATTGACACAAACATGAAAAATTTTGACCCATAACAATTAAACTGACTTGCTCCTGTTATTTTTCATCAAGGGAATACCTGGTGCCATCGGACCACCTGGCCCCAAAGGAGAAAAGGGTGACTTGGTTGTATCAAGAGTTAAAGGTGAGTGTAGTCAACCACTTAGCTGCCTCCGTTTTATGGGTGATATATGACATCGACTTCCCGTGATCACAGGTAAATTCTATGACAAGACTTAGGGTGGTTGATATTGCTTTAAAATGTCCTTCCTGCTCTTCAGAGAGTTGTGTGAAGATTGAGCCTCAAACCCTCTCTCAGAAATGCTCATTTAGTCACTTCTTGAATCCTCACTGTTGTGACCTTAGGCTTGACATAAGACCTCCTTTGACACGGTGAGAGTGTAGCATTCACTTTGTTATGGTAGGCTGTGTGAATCAAGAATATTTTGGTGCTGAGTGACAGAAATTCAGCTTGATGTACTTAAAAAAAATTTATTAACTTATCTAAAGAAATTTGAAGTTTATGTCTAAGATTGGCAGAGGGACAACCGAATCCAGGTCCTCAAGTACTAGCAGGAAGCTTTCCCCACACTTTTACCTTTCGTGGACCTGGCTGTATTTTTGCCTGATCACTGATTTTCTCTGGCAACTCCAGAGTCCATATACTCTGGAAAGCCCCAAGTTTTTACAAGCAAAGAGGCTGTATTTTTGCCTGATCACTGATTTTCTCTGGCAACTCCAGAGTCCATGTACTCTGGAAAGTCCCAAGTTTTTACAAGCAAAGAGAAAGAGAGCTGTATTTCCTTTAACTGCAGTTAGGAAGTAACTCTGAGAAAGATTGGCCTAGGACCTCGCCTCACAATGACCGGGACACAGAGTACGTCTGGTGTCACATACACTGGGCAGATGCTATGGTGTCAGGTGTCTCTGCAGACAGCCTCCCTGACAGAGTGGGTAAAGGGACATTTCCCAAATAAAAATATTTGTTATTTCCAGTTGTCTCTCTGTAACTGTAGTCAACTGAGATGCTCAGAGGAATGCCTTCTTCATGCCGAGTCCAGGTCATTGGTTGTCTTTCATGATTGTTGCCTCTAGTTTTAATCTTTTGTGTTCTCTTTACCCATTGTTGAGAAAATGCTGAGGGCCTGTTTGTCTTTGTTCCCAGGGAACAAAGGAGAAAGAGGCCCTGACGGGCCACCAGGATTTCCAGGGGAGCACGGACAGCATGGTCAGGATGGACGTAAAGGAGAAACAGGGGACCCAGGACCCCCAGTATGGATCATTCTTTTGCTTTAGAATTTTGCTTTCTCAACCACGCAGCTTCTCTTCCCTTCTTAATTTAAAAGCAATAAATAGCACAGTAAGTTGCCAACTTGCTTTAAGACAGAGCAGCTTTTGAGTCACTGCCACAGAAAGACAGTTGTCCTCCAAAGGAGTCACAGCACCCAAGGCCTAGCAGCTGGCAGTTGGATGGGTCATTGCAGGACTTTCTGTGCCCAGACTCTGGTGATGTGTATGTCCTGTCGTTGTCTCTACACAGTCCCCACTGACCTCAGTTGCCCCTAGGCTGCACAATAGATAGAGACCAGGTCCTCACAACCACCTTCAGTTCTGTTCCCTGATAAAGAATCAGCTCCGGGAAGTAGTCAACAAGAAAGGGAGAACTGGTACAACTTACCGAACCCATGTCTTGGCTCTTGGACAGCCCCTCTAGTAAGTGATATTTCTGCATTTTTCCAAACATGTCTTAAATGGAGATCCTAGCGAGGTAATGAAGGTCATAAGAAAAAACGATGAGATGAGAGCTAATGCTTGGGAACTGAAGATGTCTTGGGTGTGTGTGGTTGCTTTGAGTGTGTACAATGTTGCAGAGACTGAGTGAGGCAGACACCTTTATAACAGCTGTCTTCTGAGGGGCAGCGAACTTTCCAGCTTTCTGGGAAGGAACTGCAGGTTAAGGGAATGTTACTCAAAGTCGCCCATGGTTCATACAGGCTGGACAGTAGAAAACACAACCTGTCTTCTCCCAAAGTATGTGCCACTTCCACAGGGCTGCACTGCTGGCCATCGGGAGCATGGAAACAGGGAGGTGGGGAGGAGGAAGATGGGAAAATCACGTTCTTCAGATGGAATGCATGTGAACAGGAGAAAGAGATGTGGCATCAGGGTAGAGAGTGTTTGACTTTCTGGCCTTTTGACTGATGTCCAGGATGAATGATACCTGCTTAGACTTGGTGATCTGTAGTTAAGAAAACACCTTAGAAGCCAGTGTCATTGAGCACTAATTGTTGCTACGTGCTGAATTCACTGTGAAAAACCAAAATTTATCTAGTGATCAAATTGGGAGAGAAGTAACATCCCAGGGATATTGCTATACTCACTGAAACAATCCAGACTCTCAAGACTATCATTGGTTGCTTAGAAGACAGAGTGGTGTCCTTGTATGCAGGAGCCCTTGAGATCACTTGTTCACTGGGTAATGGAGGAGAGGTCCCACTGGGGACAGGCTCACCCCCAAAAGAAGCTGTCAACTCCACAGCACAGCTCTCGGAAACCCTCTCCACAAGAATGAGCCAGCTGCAGGAGCCATCCCTCAAGAGGCCCCTACAGGGACCCCCCCGGCCTTTATCATTTTTCCAGAACAGACACAGACTTTGCAACCAGCATTGATTTCACCATAAGCAGTGTTGCCTAGTAATATCCTTGACAGCCAACTTTCAGGAAGTTTCCAGAGGAACAAAAGTAGGCAGTTACCTGCTTCAAGTGCTCACATTAGAGGAGAAAGGACATCAGCCCCTGCCCCCACCATGGACATGATGGAGCCTTTCCCGGTAGCTGCTCACTGGAATTCAAGAAAACAATTTCAAATCCATAGGAACGGGCTCAGTGTGTGAGCCCGTTACCTTTCTTGATCCATTTATTTCTATGTCTTATGGTATTTGATGTCTGTATTTCTACCTTTTGTTATATTTGATATTAGTGAGTGGGTCTACACAATTTTTACTCTATATTTATGGACACACGCACACATAATGTCCCTTATTGGAGGCATCACCACCTGCACCAATAGCAAACACCTACCTGCAAATGTGGGTGTAAAACTCTAAGAGGAACATAAGTTCATCTTTTTTTTTTTTATAACAGTTTATTTTTACATCATTTTGTGCATTTTTTGTTTATCTCAATTGTAATCTCCGTGGGTTTCCCATCACTGAGTCACCCATGTGCCATCACCATAGTCCGGTGCACTTCCCTCTCTCCCTCCCCCCTACCTCCCTCCCTCCATGTTTTTGATCCCATTCCCCACTCCATCCCCACAAAATGTCTCTGGTATATGGCTGTTCATTATTCTTGTTATTTTCTCGCCTGGTCCATTATACTCCTGCTATGAGTGAAACCATCCGGTATTTTTCTTTCTCTTTCTGGCTTATCTCACTAAGCATGATCTTCTCCAGCTTCACCCAAGTTGCTGCAAAAGACAGGTGTTTCTCTTTTTTGGTTGCTGAGTACTAAGTTCATCTTTTAAATCCCACTTGCAAGCGAATGCCTGTCTCCTACCTATACGGGCTTCCTGCAGCGACGGCCCAGGGACGCTAACTGACTCCTCTGCAAATTTTCCAGGGGGACCATGAGGATGCAGTTCCGGGTGACCCAGGGCCTCTGGGGCCTCCGGGCGCCCCAGGCAGAATGGGCCCCATGGGGCTTCCGGGACTGGCGTATCCTGGTTTCCCCGGGCATAGAGGACAACCAGGAGTTCCAGGACGTCCGGGTGACCCGGGCCCTGACGGCGTGAAGGGTCAGAGAGGTAATTTTCAATGCTTTGTGCACAGAATGTCACACGAAGTGTTGGAAGCTATTGTGTCCCTTGCTGGGCAGTGATAGCTCTGGTGGAACAACCCTGTGGAACCTCATCAAGTTGCTGTTTGAACCGTGAATGTTGTGAAACAAATAAAAGCATTGCAGCGCAATCAATATTTAACGTAAACCCTTCCAGCGCTGAGATGTCTTTATTGCTTTGGGTATATGGCTGGCCAAAATTGCCTTTCATTTCTCAGCATCAATTTATATAATTCGACTGTATTAAAATTACATATATGTATTCAAAATATCTATCTTTGACAATCTTTTGAGATCATGCAGGGTATTTTAATAAAAAGCAGATAGGATTTTACTTAGACGTCAGTGTCCATGAAAACTCATTTGTAAATATTGTAGGGAGAAAACAAAGGAATTTAAATCTATTTTAGCAGTTAGGCGAATTGCAAGCAATTCTACAATATCATTGTAGAATGATAGCGAAAAACTTTTTAAGATTGGAACGAGATTGATTTAAGATTTTTTTTCTTTTGTATTGTGTATGAATATTATCTTTGGTCCTTGTCTTGATGACATGGAAAGAAAGATACCCCAGAATTGGATAAGGTTTAAGATTGTGGTCTGGGGGCCCTCAAAATCTAACATTTTTATTCATCTCTTAGGTTTTTGACTTGAGGGCATAGGAAGTAATCCACGATGAGCTATCGTTTTCTGTCTTACAAGAGAGGCATGCCATTTTCAAGGAATTGGGGATTCAGAGACATTAGCTCTGGATACTATTTTCTTCCTCAGTTTAAATGGGGACTATAACCTCCTCCCTGCAAAGTTATTCGGAAAACCAGGGGCCCTCACTGAAGCCCTGACCCAAGTGGCTCTGGGCACGGCATGGACACTCCTCATCCAACCAGAAGCCCAGTCTTCCGCACTGGGGCCGGAAGCTCCTACCCTGCTTTGCCTGATTCAGCTCACTTACCTAGTACAGTCCAGGGTATTGCAAATTCATGGATTTGCACATGCATTTTTCTTCTTGATGATCCAAATTGATTAAGTCCTGTAATCAGTATTTTCCCTATTCCCCTATGTTTATCACAGTTCAAATGAAGTTCAGACTTCAGCGTATTTTTTTCTAGAAATTCTGAATAGAAGTAGCTCTATGAAAAAGATAAATATCCTGATTGAGTTATCACTGTAACCACACTGCCCCTTGCATTCAACTATCAGGCATGTGAATACGGCTCTTTTTTCATTCCAGGTGATACCATTCCTTCTGACGTAATCTACCTGGGGAGTCCAGGCCCACCAGGTTTGGATGGACCTCCAGGTACAGTCTATGAGCAATTATGGGGCTTACACCTTTCCCAGAGGCAAGAAATGCAAGATAGGTAAACCAACAGCATGTCCTCAGGCATCTAGCTAAGACATTTCTGCAGCCATTCTAGAATTTCTGAGGGGCTGTGGGAAAACAACCTTTACAGTCTTTCACATAGCTGTAGGCCTCTTGGCATACACAACTCACAAAAGAATTGCAACAGCTGGCAACAGCTTTACAGCCATAAAGTAGAAATACTGTAAAAAGACTTAACAGGCTAAATGTTTTTATTTTGCATTTTTTACCTTTTAACTCACAAATTCAAAGAGAATAAAATTGTGTTATTTTTAACTGGGGCCACATTGGTTTATAACCCTATACATGATGTAGGGGTAAAGGTTTACCCTGCCACCAGGGTTCCCATAATACTGCACCCTTGTTTGTTGGGCTTCTTCCTTTGAGTTGCATCTCTACCTTCCTCCTCCTACAACCTGTTGAATCGAGGCTACTAGAGATGGGGACAGTTTTGTATGTTCCTTTGCTTTGTTTGGTGTATTCCACAAGAGAAAAATTATCCAGGATTTGCCTTTTTTCTTCTGACTTGTTTCACTTAGCATCGTCCGTCCCTTCCAGTTCTATCCAGTTGTTTCAAATGACATAATCATACCTTGTTTAGAGGCGAGTAGTATTCCATCGTGTATGTAGGTCATATCTTCCAGATGGTTTCGTCCTTTGTTGGGCAAAGGTTGATTCCATAACTTCGAGTAAGTAGTGCTTCAGTGAACGTAGCAGTACATTAATTTTCAAGCCAATGTTTGTTTTAAAAGGTTTATTTTTATTTATTTAAGCATACAAGAACTGGGGTACAGTCCAGAGGAGTGGTAGTGAGAGGATTCACCGGAGACAGAGTGGGAAGCAGAACAGATGGATCGACTGAAACACACTGCTGAGGGGAGCAGTGGGCGAGACAGGAGAGGCCTGCTGCGCCCTGTGGGCCAGCTCCCTGGTCAGGGATTGAACTCAGGACACAGTGGCTGGCGATAGCTTACTGCTGTGACTTAATCCTTGCTCCACCAGAGAGGCCTTCAAATCAGTGCTTTTGCATTCTTTGAGTAGATAGAAGCCTAGGAAGGGAATGCTGGATCGTGTGGTCCATCTCTTTTTAGTATATTGCGAATTTGCCATACTGTTCTCCATAGGGATGGGACCAATTAAAAAGACGTGTAGGACAAAGAGGCTTACTGCTTGTCCCTTTGACACCACATACTCTTCCAGCCAAAACCGCTGACAATTAAATAGAGAATATTGTCCAAGAGAGTCCTTTTCAGGTTTATTTGGAATATCTTTAGGGTTCAGGAATAATAACGGCTTGGTATAATTCTTAGGGAAAAGCATAAAGAAAATTCTGTTTTTCTTTCTAGCTTTATGGAAGTATAATTAGCAAATAAAGTTTTATATATTTAATGCATGCATTAGAACCTAATAAACACAAAGTAAGTACATTGTGAGACAAGTGAAAATTAAAAAGCCAACATGCGTGTTTAGAATCCCCTTACTCTAGTCTCATTTCATTTGTTTTCGTGAGCCCCTTAGGTCCGAAGGGGTTTCCGGGTCCCCCGGGTGCACCGGGGCCGAGGTGTTTCGATGGTCAGAAAGGTCAACCAGGCAGACCAGGGAGGTTTGGAGTTCCTGGCCCACCCGGTAAGTGTGTTTTCCTGTTTCTGGAACATCTGTGTATCTAAAATGGGCTATCAGGGAAGGAGGTCCCCAGGACCCCAGGGTGATGCAGATATGTTTTTTCCTGATATATCAGTTATATTCCAAGGACTTTTAGGTCATAATTTTGTAAACTTTTGGGCTTTCCGCACCCTGAGTTATAGACAGCTGCTGGTCTGCTGTGTGCAGATACGGCTCAGCGAGGCACCCCTTAAGGGAATATCTTTGGCTTATAGGAAACACAGTCGCAATTTATTTCATGGCAACAACATTACATATTAAGCCTCTTTTACATTTTCATAAGTCCCCCTGGATATTTTAGAAAATACGTTTTTATCAGGAGGCTGTCTTACTGTGAATTCTACACTTGTCTATTTACGATTTAAAACTTGTTTCTGTGGTTGATAGGTCTTGGTGGTGAACCAGGAGACCCAGGTCCTAAAGGTGAAATGGGGACCTCACTTATGGGGCCCCCAGGCCTGCCCGGTTCACCTGGAGTACCTGGTCAGAAAGGAATCCCCGGAGACCCAGCTTATGGCCCCCCAGGCCCCCCAGGGGACAACGGAAGCCCAGGAGCACCCGGTTCACAGGGACCGAGAGGGGCCCCAGGCTTCCCTGGGGCAGCAGGTAGGAGGAGTGGACCGACCTTCTGGCTCTGTAGAAGGCTCAGACAGTCTGGCCCCAGAAGCCCTGCCTACAGATTTCCTCCAAGCCTCTTTCCTCCTCTGTGGACCCCAGTTACATTTCCAACAACCTGCATCCCAGCGATGCCTCAGCTTCTTACTGGCTGCCAGGAATCAGAAGCAGCGCACTGGGACTCAGACAACTCATTTGGTTCAGCAGCTGCTGGATCTCTGCTAGGTGCTGGTGGACCAGAACAGGGCCTGTTTGCTGCTCCCGGCCACTGCCAGGCTGTGGGAGACCAAGAAAGAGCAAGGAGGAGCCATGTGGCTGGAGTCTGGTAGCTCTGTGGGGTAGCTGGGTCTGGCCAGGCGGGCGGTGCTATTCAGACAGAGTGGTTTATCATGGCCCAGCGGTCAGCCGGGTCTCCGGCCCCGTGGGTGGTGGGACCGAGAGAGCAGCCCGGACTTTCAAAAGCACTGCCTGCTTTTCTTCTCTGCCAGAGAAGAGCCAGTATTTATTCGATGCCCAGATTAGCTGTCTGGGCTGTCCAGGCTGTCCAGGCAAGCAGAGGCAGGAGAGCAGACACATGCTTGATCATCAGGAGGCTTCGCTTACCAGTCAGACAGTCCCATGTGAAACCCCAATTGATTGGAACGTGGCAAAATCATACATTACGAAGTCAATTGAAATAGGTTTTGAGCCGGTAATTCCACTCTCTCGCCTGTGAAAATGTATTGAAAAGAAATGTTCAGTAGAAGGTGAAGGATGTAAATAAGAAAATATTCCTGCAGTGTGGTCCCCAGTGGGGGGAGAATCAGAAAACATCAAGAAAATGAAGTCAATCCCTGCACCCAGGATCACTTTCACTGCTTAGCAATTAAAATGGTGTTTGTGGAGATGACAACAAAATGGGAAAGATTTGCAGGTTAATATATATAGTGTGAAATAATTCAACAATTGAACGTGCACTGAGATGAACAAATTCCAAAATACAAACCACCGAACCAAAAGAAAACAAGGACATGTGAACATAAAGTGGAATTTTAGGTTCAGGTGTGGCATGTTAGGAATTTACTTTTTTTTCTGAACATTGTGGCACAACCTTTCCAATAAAAATTTGAGAGTTTGAGCCATGAAATATTTTACAAAATGCAAATGCATACATTTCCAACAGGGGGTTGGGAGTAGTAGTGTAGAGATTTGCTGTAAAGCCAGTTGCAAAGTTAGAGGTTAATGAAAAGTTAGAATGGCATGGTCTTTCAATTTGCATAAACAGCTTCTTTGTTGTCTACATAACTTTATCAAATAAGTCCGGGCAGGCATGGGTTTCCAATTCTTTTGGCTTTTACTACTTATTATGATAAGGAAATTCATTCAGACTTAAGCTCATCCAGGGCTGAGCCAGGATCAAACATCCACTCTGGAATGGATATGCCCAGCGGGTCGGTGGCCCGCTACGGTCTCCATAGTTCCATGCTGCGAATGTCATGGGTGTATTGTCTTATTACAGGACCACCTGGCATGCCTGGGTCCCCAGGTCTCAAAGGTCTTAAAGGCAGAGAAGGGATGACTGGGTCTCCAGGTTTGCCAGGAACCCCTGGCCATTCCTGTGCCGAAGGCGCTCCAGGGAGACGAGGGCCGCCGGGGATGCCTGGCGCTCCAGGGAGTCCAGGTGAGTGTCAGCAGATGTCAAGAACAGGGAAGGGTGTTCCTGTGTTCACCACACAGGAATATGCTCATGTCTTGCTCTGTTAGGGATGCCAGCCAAGCACAAAGGCCTTTATTATTCATGGCTTAGCGAGTAATGCAAGCTTCATGTTTGTTATCATTTCTCTGAGTCACCCAGGTTTTATGGGGGTGACATCAAGGGGCTATGGATACCATTGTGCATGTACAGTGGGTGCAGTACCTGAGAAGAGCACTGAGCCAGGAAACCCCTGATTTATAACCTGCAAGGCAGATTTCCTTCCTGGGGGAGGCACTGTATCATCGCTAAAGGCTGCTCACTGCAAGCACAGCTTGAAACCCAGGTCAGAAGGGTTGAGGACCTTCAGCTTTTGGCATGCTCAGCTAGACATCATAGGAACTCAGAGACGCAGGATGAGTGTTTCTTAACACATGATGCTAGGGGCTATTTCCAACAAGAGTTTCACTTTGCTATGTGGATTGTTCCCTGTTGAGTCCACCCTACTGACTTTATCCCAATGAAAGAATGCACTGCCTGGTCCTCCTGGTGTCCTAGGGGTTAAATCTCAGCACTATCACCTCTAGGGCCTGAGTATCCCTGGCCAGAGAGCTGACCCACATGGCACAGTCAACCTCTCCTGCCTCCCCTCTGTCCGCTCAGCAGTGGATTGCAGACAATCTGCCTGTTCTGCTCCCCACTCTGTCTCTGGTGAACACTTTCATCCCCCCACTCCCCACACAACACACTTCTGGCTTACACTCAGGTCTTCTACCAAAAAAAAAAATCCACTGCCTTGCAAGATCAAAATGAGATTGAGGCAGACTGCCACCATAGCTTCATTTCTAGCACAGTAGTTCTGGATGATGTTGCTCTACTTCTCTAATTCTTTCATCATCATGAACAGACTGGCCAAATTCCACTTGCCTGCAGCTTCAGGAAGCACCTGGAAAGTTTTCTTCTATTAGTTTTATTCTCCTTGATCGCCATCCCCGATCTACTTCCCATATAAAAACATCATACTATTCACGCATCCTATCTACCCTTCTTTTTAATAGAAAAATATAACCTCAGACCGGTGGGGACTGCTACTGCTATTGTATTACTCTTACTGCTATTACCAGATTGATAAGCTTCATTTTGCTTTGACTTAATCCCCACCAAGACTCCACTTGAGCTACCTTGAGGGTGGCAGAGGCGTTTTCCTTCCTCATACACCGCTGTGCTGTGGTTTGTCCAGGTGCCCCAGGTTGGAAAGGAGAACGAGGAGATGAGGGGTCCCCTGGAGCATTTGGAAGGAGGGGCCTCCGTGGGGTCCCCGGACTTCCAGGGAAAGATGGGCCTCAAGGACCGCCAGGCTTCCCCGGTCCCCCTGGGGACGACGGACTTCCGGGTCCTCCAGGCCCCAAGGGTAAGTTGAGCCTTTCCATTATTTGCCCTATTATAAACTTGAGCTCTACTGCCAGCTAGGCCCACTGTCGAGCGTCCCCATAGTGTAGCCTGACTTTGCCCGGCCTTAGGGACATTGTCTTCTTGGGGCCCTGGGTTGGATCATTTCCAGCAGCAGGGCGTTTGGTAGATGGGAAGGGGTGGCCGGCAGGTCTGGAGAACCTACAAACCTGTGCTCAAAGGACTGGGCCATCTCAGTAAAGTTGGGACTCCAGGGCTTCCACCATGGACGGGCCCTCCCGCCCCAGCCCTGTCCCACAAGCTTTGGAAACATGAGGGTCTACACTTCAGGCGCGTGGGGTGGGAACGGACCAGGCAGGAGGACCCCACTACACTGGGGTAGGTCTCCCCCTTTACAAGCTGCACAGGTGGGCTGTGCCTCTCACCTGGACCGTGAGGAGCACAGAGCGAGCCCCACATCGAGGACATTTTCTCTTTCCACAGGGCCCCAGGGACTGCCTGGCTTCCCAGGCTTTCCAGGAGAGAGAGGGAAGCCTGGTGCTGACGGGCACCCTGGCAGGAAAGGAGAACCTGGAGAGAACGGGTGGCCTGGCCCCCAGGGAGACAAGGGATGGAAAGGGGTCAAAGGTGAGCGTGTGCGCAGCGTGGGTGCGACCTGAGTGGTGTTCAGTGTCTGAGCAGAACCTGTGAATATGGTCTCCGGGAAACGGGGCGGTTCTCATTTTTGTGGTGCTTGCATCTGAATTTTAAACAAAATACATTTCTCATGCCTCTCAGTCTTATTAATAGATTAATGTGATTTTATGTCATCCTATATATTTTAGCATTTGCCCTAATACAACATTCTATTATCTCTACATTTATATATTAGATCCTATAATTACATGTTTTACACAGAATTGTCTGCTTTTGGTGTAGGTAAATGGGAAAGGGGTGGGGCATATTTATATTACATCAGGTTACAATTATAGCCTTCTTATATATTGTTACAGGCGCATGATGTATAACATCATTATGTCATCATGATGTATATACATATATATCATGGTAGGGATATGATGATGCTATAATTATACATAATATTATATAGCATATTATTTGATCTATTATATATTTTCCAATTTATGGCATCATTTTCTAATTTTTTTTCTTTTTACTGAGGTGAGAGTGGTTGACAACACCAGGTAGGTTCAGGTGCCTAGTCTCACCTGGCACATCACTCCCCCCATGTAGATATCTAGTCACAGAAACAGTTCACAAGTGCTTTGATTTGTTACTGTTGGGTTTCAGAAAACCTTTTCAATGTAGGGTACAGGATGCTGGCAAGGGGCAAGGATCCTGGTCATCAAATATATATATATGTTGCAGGGACTCTGGCCCTGACTCGGGCTGAGGAGCTGAGGGCCCCAAAGCCGCCAGACACAGCCCTGTCCCATACAACGTGATGGGGGCACTGAAACCTCAGCTTCACTGAACTTGAACATCTTAACAGTCTTGTTCTTGCTGAGTCCAAATCACTGCAGACCTGCAGTGACCTGCAGAGCCAGAGGGGGCGCTGGTTTGCCGGGCCCTGAACCAGATGGCACCCACTGTCATTGGAGAGTTTTCATTATTATGAAAAATAAAACATTCCAGGCGACAGGTTTAAATATTCTCGCCCATTCCAGTAAATGTTCGTTTTTACCTCCTAGCCTGAAGTGGCCGTTAAGTGGAGGTTGAGAGTGGATACTTGACAATCTCCAGAAACAAGGTTTTCGTCCTTAAAGTGCTTTGGGCAAATAGTCTTCTATTTAATTCAATTACTTTTGATTCTTAGTTGATTGATTCTGCTATTACTTTTTGTTTTACTCATCTGCAAATTATTTATATAGAATCAAGGAAGCAGAGTCACTGCTTGGTTTGTGCAGTGTTTGCTGTGCTATTGTGCTATTATAGGATTATCCCCACAATATATTTTTTTTATTACAAAAGTTTATTTTTACATCATTTTGCACATTTTTTTTTTCCATCTCTATTGTAATCCCCGCGGGTTTCCCATCACCAAATCACCCGTGTGCCATCACCATAATCCCGTGCATTTCTCTCCCCCTCCCCCCCCCCATTTTTGATCCTATTCCCCACTCCACCCCCACAAAATGTCTCTGGTATATGGTTGTTCATTATTTTTGTTATTTTCTCGCCTGGTCCATTATACTCCTGCTATGAGTGAAACCATCCAGTATTTTTCTTTCTCTTTCTGGCTTATCTCACTAAGCATGATCTTCTCCAGCTCCATCCAAGTTGCTGCAAAAGACATGTGTTTCTCTTTTTTTGGTTGCTGAGTAATATTCCATTCCCACAATATTTCTTTTAATTGGGTTAATTTAAATGCCAGCCAAGGATGTTCTGGTACATGGGCTTTTCTAAATAAAAGTTTTTTAATGTTCTGAGTAGTACTTGCTGATGGCAAGTACCCACCGTGGCTGATTTTGACCTGCCATTGGTATAAAACTATCTTAGAAAGTTCTTGAATTGTGAGTAATTGGCTCTCACCAAGCCAATAGGCATCACACCAGCACACTCCAAAAGCTGCACCGTTTTTATGAAAATCAGGCAAAAAATATCAAATACCCATCTTATTTGTAGAATTCTCTATTTTGGAAAATTGAGTGGAGGAAAGTGTCAGTTCTTTTAACATCAGGAAAATAGTAGAAAATGACTCAGAATGGAAGATACGAAACTTGAAAAACGTTAGATGAACAATTCAAATTTTACAAGGTCGAGAGACATGTTTTCAAACAGAGCTCTTCCAAACCTGGGATTTTTCACTGAAGACTGAGATTGGTTGAATTAAGCAAACATTCTCTGTCTGCCCAACCTAACTACTGGGCAAGTTGGGAGAGAAGCGTAACAGGGAATCAGTCACCAGTGTGGATGCTGTGTGATCCGTGTCGTGTCCATAGATCACATGTCGAGCAGATCACATGAGATTTGCTAATCAAACGTGCAGTGTCATACAGAAGGTTCTCTGTGTGGTGTTCTGTGTTTTGCTCTTGCATAATTAACACCTGAAGGAGACAGAGGACCCCCAGGAGATAAAGGCGAAATGGTGATAATTTCCCCAAAGGGGGAAACTGGGGATCCTGGACCTCTTGGGGATGCTGGAATTCCAGGAGAAGAAGGTAAGTATTTGTTTGTTTGTTTTTTCACCATATCAACTAAGTTGACTTCTTTCCAGGGTTTTTAAAGAAACGGGTACTAGTTCACTTCCCCAACAACACTGCACTGTGATTAGGGGAGCTGAGTTTTAAATATACACTTACGGAAATATACACTGAATAGTGATGTATAATACCAGGTATAAAGGTATAATTAACCTCAGCACCCTTTAAAAACATTTTTTATTGCTTTCATATCCTCGAACTTAACTGAGCTTCATCTGTGTTTTAGAATTCCATATCCCCAACTGGGGTCAGTGACATGTGATATTGGTTCTAGGATTAAAGTGTCCCAGTCTGGGGAGGTAGGTACTAGAATAAATAGTGCACCAATGTCCCAGTCATTCCCACCAGTGCTTCTCTAACATCAATGTGCAGATGAATCCCCTGGGGCTGGTTAAATTGCAAACTCTGGACCAGCAGAGTCTGGTCTGCCTGTGCCTATCCTGCTCATCTGTAAATGAACATAAATACAGGCAAATGGTGCTACCTGGTTCCCCACTCCTGCCCCCCAAACAACCCCAAGCCTGTTCCTGGGCCCCTTCCTTCCGGAGCCATCTCTGAAGGTAGAAACTGGCTTGACGCATTTTAGGACAGGAATTAGGATTCCTACACCTTTGCTTTCATCTCCTAACAAAAGTAAGATCAAGACACTCAGACTAACTACTACTGAGGTCAAGATTTTCGCAAAGAACGCTGTAATCTCCTCATCCCACTCCAGGTGATAAAGGCATTCCCGGGATGCAGGGGAGACAAGGAGAGCCAGGGAGAGATGGACCCCCTGGATTCCAGAGAGGACAACCTGGTAGAGATGGGCATCCGGGGACTCCTGGGCCACCAGGACCTCCAGGATCACCTGGGCCGAGAGGGATCGTAGGTTTCCCAGGATTACCAGGGGACCAGGTAAGTGACTGTTCTCTGGGTCAGGGCAAATATAAATCCTTTCTTCTTTCAGTGTGTACATAAGGAATCCCTATATGCAGGGCTGCCTTTTCACTGGCTGTTGGAACGTAAGGGGTCTGCCAAAGGAAGAATGGAAACTTCTGGAAGGCATGATGTAACTGTTATTTCTGAGCAGTGCTCATGCTCAGTTGCCTTGACATAGATGACCAAGTCACCCCAGATACTATCCCCCAATTTCAAGAACTCCATGGAGGTGTGCCTTGGGACTGCTGGTCTACCAGAATAGAGTCACCTGAGAAATTACCCTAGTTCTGGCTTCTAAACCTTCCTCTCTGATTATAGATTTTGCTGTAAATATATTTAGCCTTTCCGATCATGGGTACAACACCTTTTAAGAAGACAAAAAGTACAATGAATGCAGTAGTAGCCTACGTCAGAGCTCCTAGAAAATGTATAATATAATTTGTTCCTCTGGAATAAAGTGGATATTTTAAAAATATTTTGGTATGAAATGACATCTAATAATATTTCATTTAGTATCATCTTGTCCATTTAAAACTTGAATTTCAAGTTATTTGAGCTACTGGCTTTGTGACCAAGTGTACTTGATACTCAGCTGGCCTGAGTATCTCTCCTTTTGGAGGGGTTTTAGCAAATTTGTTTTTAAAAACTGGGCATATGTAGTAGTTTCTTGCATTGCATTTCCAATTTTCTTTATGTTTATAAATGATGAAAACCAAGTTGGATGGGAAGATATAGCTGGATCATATAGGCATGTGTCCCTTGTATCTGAAAGCTAATGAAGCTCTTGCTTGTGTTTCACTGAACTATCAGGGTATGCCGGGCTTTCCAGGGCTCCCTGGCCTTTCAGGAGTCGATGGAGCAAAAGGACCTAAAGGTATGGTGTAGAAATACAACAACCCTCCTTGAAGCTCATAATCCCTGCACTTGTGATACTGTGAGCTTTTGCATGGAAAGTGAAGCAGAGCAAACAAACAGCAACACCAAGCCCACAGGCGACACATATGAGGACCCAGCACATATCAGCAGGCACTGACCTCCTTGGCTAAGGAGCCCCCCCACTCCACAGTGATCCAGGACAAGCCAGCCCGTCGCCTGTCCTCCTCAGTCCTTGTCTTGATTGTGGAAAGATGCCATGACGAGACTGAGAGGTTAGGGACAGACAGTTTTATGCACAAAGTGGTAAGCATGACTGCTCTCAGTAGGAGACCCAGATGGGTTGCCTCTCTATAACTAAGTGGAAGCCTTCCAGGGCTGAGCACTCTGCATTGTTTGGACAGTATCACCTGGGATGGTTTTGTTAGGTTCCTTGGACCACCTTGTCCTGTTCCTGGAGTTTGCTACTAATCGGAGAGCCCACCTAGCACAATATGCTAGTGGAGCCTCCCCAACTGTCTGCCTGTTCAGTGACTCACCTCCTCCTTTAACAGAAGCAAGCACCCCCCTACCGATGCCATTGGTGCTGATTGTAGGGTCCCAGTTACGAGGCTCAGGGCCACAGAGACTGAAACCACCACTTCCCACCAGTGCTGAGAATTCATGCCGGAATCCCTGGGCCATGTGTGATTTGCAATTGTAATTTTACAGTGACAATTTACTTCTTTACCATAAGCCAAATATCAGAAGATAGGTTTCTCCCCTCCCCCTCAAAGGGCTAGATCATAAATATTTTCCACTCTGTGGTATCTGTGGACACTATGGGCTGTCCATGCATGAGCAAGTGGTGTGAAAATAAAGCAGAAGGCAGTACTCAAAGGGCATTGCTGTGCCAATAAAACTTTATTGACAGAGCAGGCTACAGGCCTCAGTTTATCCTGTGCCAAAATAATGTTGTCTTATAACAGGACTAACATTACCCCTTTGTCAGGTTCCCAGGAAATAGGATACTAACCCAAGGCTCTGTGGGAATTCTTGCCCACAATGCCTTTGGGTGTACTACCCCTGGGCCATCATCGGTCTTGCTGATATTTTATTTTGGAAGGACACAAAGTCGGTCTTGTGTCCTTCTTGCAGGCCTTGACACAGGATTGCAGCAGCTGAACCAATGATAACTTTGCTTTCTAAAACACAGTAGAGACCAACGTCACTCACTGCCAAGTCATTTCTTTGATACTTAAATTTGAAAATATTTAGGTACATTAGAAATTCAAGCATTAAGATTTATGGTTTCTTAGAATTCTTATGAACTATAAAATTGGATGTTTTGATCACATCTTGCATCTTTGTTTCCATTTGTGCTCAAGTAGGAAAAAATGATTTTTTTCTCCCAAAAATCATTGCCTGGAATTTTGAAGACAGGCTGTAAAGATAAATATCATGACAGCTACTAAGTCACTTATATGGAGTGAAAATTCAATCCCATAATTTGTGTGTGTGTTTCATCACTTACAGGAACCCAAGGTGACCCGGCCAGTCATCTTGGACCACCAGGTCCAAAGGGTGAGCCAGGTAGCCCTGGAAATCCAGGTATAGCTACATGTTTTTCTTATGAAAAAAAAAAAATAATAAGATTTGTTTGAAACTAGAACATTTCCTATTTATAACTGCATATATATTTGTCTTTCTAGAAATGGTGGAATTATAAATGAGTTCTCCCTTCCATCTGGCACTATGGAAACTTGTATCAGTATTTAAAAGACACAAACTCTTTAAGGGACTGACCATAGCATGGACAGAATAAATGTCCATTTATAACCTGTTAACTAAGTCATGTCCAGCATCATTTTAGCTGATAACGGACAAGTTAGAAAACAGGCTTGTATTTCAAATGGCTTCTTTTCGAATAATTTTGTGTATTCACTTAAAATTTGCTTTGGCGGTAAATACATATAACAGAATATCTGAGCAAAACTGTTATGGGAAATTTTATTTCTTGTGAATTACTTTCCCAGATGAAAGTGGAAAAGGAAGTTTTTGCCATTGTGGTGGTTTCTTTGGCTGGGAGACCTCCCTCCTAGCGGTCATCTGACTTGGTAAAATAGATTTAGATATCATACTTTAAGTGAATTGTATAGCTGAAACATATATTTGGAGGAAAAATAGCTATGAGGTCAGCACTGGGGGGCATTCATATTATCGCAGCAGAGTGGGGAGATTTGCCATTGGCCATTGTCACCCCATGTGTTCTTGAGAACGTCACCTCTGAGCTCGGTTTCCTCGCCTGCAGATGGTCCCTTCGTCTATCCCGAGGTCGACCTGCGAACCCAATGATTCCTTGAAAGCAAGTTGAACACTGAAAATTGCTATGCAAATATGAAGTATAATGATTGCCAATATCATCACCCTCAGCAGTCAGCCAACACTAAAAGAGTTTTCTACACTTAACAGTATTTTCTTGTAAACCCTGAAGATAGTAAGATTTTAGAAGACAAAGGAAGTCCAAAATGGAAGCCTTTGAAACTACTTGATATTTTCTGTTCAAAATCAGAAGTCTGAGTTATTTTACACTAACTCTTCCAGGACATTTACCTTGCCCTAATTTCCTGGCCTCCTGTGGTCATTACCATTTAAGTCAGTCCCTTTCCCTGATGCTATGGCATCCACTTAAAATTTTGAAATGACCTCCTGCGTATTTCACCAGCACAGTTGACTTAAATGTGCAATTTCCATTGACTGGACGCAGCTGCACTGAATTTGAATGAGCCTAAGAAGAAAGCTTAGATCTGCAACCATCACAGGTGATTCTGTGGTTGCGTGGGGTTCAATTCTACCTCTCTCCACACATTCAACTCAAAGAGAGGGTACAGAACAGACGAAAGCAGAAATTCTGCTCTTAAGACAAGCACGGTCAGGAATGCTTGAATTTTTCCATTTGGTGAAGAGGCTGAGGCTGCCTGACCTTTCCTGTGGCAGTTTCCAGGGTCAATAAAAGAATGCAGAGACAGGAGCATTGATGTTTCATTCAACCAGGGAATAGACTAACATCTGTGTTATATAAATAGTGATGATACCACTCTCCCTTCAGACTGGTGATTACAGAGCCATGTATTTTGTTTATAGATTCAAAGGGTCACTTTTAGTGCTGATTCTTGATTTAGTCTATAAAATGTGAATTGTATTAGAGTCATCCACTATAAATAAACACACAGAGAAATGATCTTCTCTAGGAATCAAAGAAATGAAATTTAAATTCAAACAGAAATATCATTTTAGTCTTACTAAATTAGCAAGAAAACAAGCCAACTGGTTAGCACGTCCTCCGAACAGGCTTCTGGAGCAGTGACCCATGTAGCTGAAATGGGGTCCACATGGTGGTGCGAGCTGATGGTGCACTAATCCAAGCCACGTAGAATGATTTGTTTTAGAAGGCTCAAGCTCTACTGAACGCAATTCTCGCAAGAAGAAGGGGACCATGAGGAGTGAATGTTTTAGAGTTCTTTTTTTAACGTTAGGGCTATGTCCACCAGAGGCCGTGCATAATTTGGAATGGAATACAGGTGGATAAACCAGCTGTGATTGATGCTGGAATGAGTGTTAGAATATTAAGAATGGCTATTCATTTTCTTGGCTGTGATAATGATTTTTCCACGTAGGAAAATGTTACTTTTCAGACATATCTCCTCAATTATTTAGGGATGAAATTCCATGTCTGTGACTTACTTTTAATAGTTCAGCATCTTAAAATGTTGAAAAAGGGACCCAGATATTACCTAGGAATTTTTCCTACATATTTACCTAGGAATTGTTCCTAAGGAGAACAAAAAATGGTTAAAGATAGAGAGGTCAGTATGTATAATGGTGATGAGTTAGAAGTAATTTGAATGGTCAATAATAGAGGGATATTAGGTGAATTAAATTCGTTAAGATTAATTCAATAAGCTGTGAGCCATCATTTAAAAATGCTCAATAAACTACAAGTTGTCATTTAAAATTAGGCAAATTATGACAAACTTGAAAAATTACTCATGATACAATGCTAACTTGAAAAACTAGAATATAAAATCATGGGTATTATTTGCATAGCCTATGAATATGAAAATTCTGTTCAGGATGTAGGATTGTAGGTACTTGATTTCCCCCATTTTTTCTTTAGCCAATAAAATCATAAATATTAAAAAAGTAAGTAAGTTTTTCTTTAACCAATACAATCATATTTAAAAGGTTGGGGCTTGTAGAATCTCTGCTTAAAGAGCAATCTGCAGCTACTCAGAAGTTTGATTCACTCTCTTTAGGACACGTTGGAGACCCCGGAGAACAAGGTTTGCGTGGTGTTCCAGGACTCATAGGACCACCTGGAAACCCAGGACTGCCGGGCTTCAATGGGCTGCCCGGGCTTCCAGGTACTGTGAACGGAGTCTGGAACCTTCCCAGACATTCGTGTACCTCCTGGTGTGTTGGAAAGAACCATCCTTTAAGACTTGGGTTCGACTCTAGCTTTGCCATTTCCTATATCCGTGATGACGTTGGACAAGTCATTTACACTTACCTGTTCCTCATCTGTTATTTGGAGCCAGTCCTATCTCATGGGTTGGTCTGGGGTAAACTAAGACAAGAACTGTGAAGTGTGAAGTAGGTGCCAGGCAGAATCAGATGGTCCTGCACACTCAGAGGCTTTCTCGAGGTCTCCCTAATACACCTTTGGGGGTTTCCTTTTCTCCCTAGACGTAAGGCAAATATCACACACAGCACAGCCTTTGAAGGGCTCCTATCCCTGCCAATTCAGAATAAACTGAGTTTTTTAAGTGGAAATTAGCAACCTCAGCCATTTAGACTTGTATTTTTCTCCCTTTGAGGTTAAGTCCAACTTTTTCCCCTGAAGTTAGGAGGTCCAGAAAGAAAAAGTAATAAAACAATGTTCCTGGGAGTCATCAGTTAGGTGCATAGATGACCTTCCCCACTGATGTGACTCGTGGGCATCTGGGTGTCAGTGGAACTCCCCTGTTCTCCTCAGGTCATGAAGGAATGCCTGGGCTGAAGGGAGAGCAAGGAGACATCGGGTATCCTGGGCCAAGAGGTCCCATGGGGGATTCGGGGCCAGCAGGTTCCCCAGGAGTGAAAGGTAAGTCAAAGGGAGCACACAGCCAGGTCCCAGCCCTGGGGGTAAGTTCACGGTGTCCATAGCAGATGTCCTTGGGGCCCGTGTTTGGGTCAAGGCTCTTTCCCATGATGCCGCAGCTCCTTCTAGTCTTTCTTATTCAGAGCTTCGGGCAGATCCCACCTAGCCCTGCCGGCCGTCTCCCAAGGTCGATGGCACTGCGAAATCATGTTTGTGCCCCAGCTCCACAGTGTCCCAACCCCCTGAAGGGTTGTCTCCCCAGTCAGTTGGGCTCCTGTCACGTGCTAGCCACTATGTTAGACAGGACACACACCATTTTGAAAAAACTAAAAACGGTTGCTACCTTCATGGAGCTCACAGTTTGGCAGGAAAGACAGACACTAAATATATGTGCATAAATGAATAGATATGTCTAATTGTGATAAGTAGATGAGACAAGGATAAGATGCTATGGAGAAAGAATAATTAGCATTCATTACCTTTGTTAGAGTATTTTTTTTTTCTTACTTGAAGTTTTTAGCTTTTTAAAAAATAATATAATAGTTTATTTTTACATCATTTTGTGCCTGTTTCCATCTCAGTTGTAATCCCCGTGGGCTTCCCATCACCAAATCACCCGTGTGCCATCACCATAGTCCAGTGCATTTCCCTCCCCACACTGTTTTTGATCCCATTCCCCACTCCACCCCCATAAATTGTCTCTGGTATATAACTGTTCATTATTATTATTATTTTCTCTCCTGTTCCTTTATACTCCTGCTATACGTGAAACCATCTGGTACTTTTCCTTTTCTTTCTGGCTTATTGAAGTTTTTAGCTTTTTAAAGATCATAGTAGACAGGTTAAAAAATAGGTCTGAATATCATATCATATAAATAATAATAATATGTAGCATAACAACATCATGCAGTCTAATGAAATATAATTTATTATTTACAAATCTCATCTCCCACCGTTCATCAGTAGTGGGACTTATTTTCCTTTAAACCATTTCTTCCATTTCAGAAAAAATACTTTTCCATGGGTACTTTGGGGGACCGTGACATAAGTTATGTTATTATACTTCCGTGTTTAGAGGTCTTTCTCATCCAATAGAATGACATTTTAAAAAATGAGGACCATTTCTACATATTTACACCCAGTCAGTCCCCAGGGAGTCTGGAGGGTGGTTTCTGTATCATGATTTTATGAATGGACTAATAAATGAATAAACAAGCAGACAAAGGAGACCCGAGTCAGTTGCTATGGAGTCGAGGGCGTCCCCCCATGACCACGCCCCTCTAGTTCGTCTTTCCTCCTTCTCCTCCCACTTAGCTTGAGTTTTTTGACTCCTACAAGTATACATCTTGGTAAAATAAAAAATACCACCTCGCAGGAGAGTTGGGAACCTTTTTGGACAATTGATATTTTTGTTCTGAACAATTGATATTTTTGTTCTGAAAAGCCAAATGATATCATTCGACTCTCTCAACTTTCCACTCACCAGCTGGCTGTCAAATCCAGCTTTCCAGTGAGTAACACTGCACATACTACTGGGGTCATCTTGTGGAGGAATCGTCACTTATTTGGAAGAGTTGGAACTTTTATATATTTCTACATGCCCACATAACCTCCCGGGGGAAGTCCCCACCCAACACACGCTATCTTTGTGCTATTCTTCTCCCTCTTCATTGGCATTTTCGGAAAAGTCAAGTCCTGAGACATGCCACAATGACCATTATAAATGATAATTTTATTATTTGAGGAGTTTTTCTAGTTCTTCTACCCATTTCCAAGAGATCCCTGAAGACAAGGATAAGATACTATGGAGAAAGAATAATTAGCTTTGTTAGAGTATTCCTTTGTTAGAGTATTCCTTGGCACTTTTCTTGACAGTATTCCTTGGCACTTTTCTTGAGAGTCTACAAAATCAACTTGTTAAAGAGCTAAAGTGGGAGAAGAAATCATTCCCATTACTGACCACATCTGTGGTGTTCCCACTCTTCCCAGCCGCCCCCTCCAGTTTAGCAGAACAACTGGGTCCCCTGGTGTCTTGACCTGAGCATCCAGCTTTACACTAGCAGAGCTCATGTGTCTATTGATTCTTCCTTCCCTGGAAGTAGTTGGCATATACCCAGTAACTTCAGCGTGATCCGTTATTAGAAGACTGACTTTAATGAATTTGGTGGAGAAACAAATTTACCCGAAAAGCAATCTCCCGTTGCATCTTAATTCTCTGCTAGGAACTAGCGAGTTTGTTCACGAGAGACAGAAACAGAGAAAGCAAAGCTCAGCCCAAGGCCTGGCCGGTGTGTGGCACCATGCAGTCCTGTCTCGTGGCCATGCAGTGACACTGTTCCCCCGCAAATCCTGCAGAGCAGTGGCCTTAAAACAAAAGGGTGGAATTCATTCCCAAATTTAAAACAGCTACAATATAAACTCATTGTTGTCATTTACCATGCTGCTATAAAAATGATCCACACTGGAGCAGAAACACTTTGAACTGAGAAACTAAATATTTGAAGTCTGTTCTAAATAAGTCAAAGGGACTGATTATCCTGTTTGAACAAACCAGCTGCTGAACTCCAAGTTGTTTGCGCTGCTACAACAAGCCATATGGATTCTGCATCCTGCTTGTGTTCAATCAGATTTAAACTTTAACTTAAACATATGCTCCAAATGGCTCGATTCCTAGATTGAAATTCTCAAGTGCATGTATGTTGTAACAGGAAGACACTCAACCCCTAATTGGGCAAATTCATATAAGGTTGGAGTCCTGGAAACCCGGTCTCAACTCTCGGCAGCACGACATGTGTGAAGACTTTGGGTTGGGTTATTTGGATTGGCAGCAAGTAAAAGGTTCCCTAAGCCAAAACGCGCCTTGAAAATGTCTTCTGTGAGAAAAGAAATGCCTTGCAGCTCAGAGCTGAGAAATCACAGAGGCACCCCCCTTCCCGCTAGGGGGTTTCCGAAACCCTCCCGCCCCGCCCCTACAGCACTTACACCCTGGATACAATTGTCCATTTCTTCTGTCAGGTCAGGGTTGTGTCTCTTAGGCTCCATCATCTCGTCACTCCTGTCACAAGGTGCCTGTGGGATCTGAAGCTCCCCGGGTTAGGAGACCGTGGCTTATACTTGGTGTTCCCTTAGGAGGTACTCAGAAATGAAAGAATTAAATCTTATTTTCGCATCTGGTTTGATAAGTTTTCAGCTTTGTTCCCTCGCCCCCTGCACCTGCAGTCACGTGTGTTTCTCTTTCTCAGTCGGCTATGGTGTTAGGTGACCGCTAGCTCTGTTAGCTCAGGACTGAAGGGATGTCTCAGGACCTAGAACGTTTTTTTTTTTTTTTAAAGATTTATTTATTTATTTGTACAGAACTGGGTTACAGGCCAGAGATGCGGAGGGTGAGAGAATTCACGAGAATTCACCAGAGACAGAGCGGGGGGCAGAACAGGCAGATCGATGAAGTCCACTGCTGAGGGGAGCAGCGGGCGGGTCAGGAGAGGTCTGCCGCGCCATGTGGTCACCTCCGGGACAGGCGGGAATCAAACTCATGCTGAAGTGGCTTTAGCTTCTTTGTGCTGTGCTTTAACCCGCTGCGCCACCAGGGAGGGCCAGGACCTAGAACTTTTAGTTTCAGAATTGGGACAGTCCCTAGCAGACAGGGATGAGGTGGCCGCCCTATTAAAAATGGAACCTGTCTAAAGGTCTCTAGGGTTAGAGAAATATGTTCAGGCTTTACAACAAAAGGAGAACTCAGAGTGGGGGCCCAGTCACCTCCAAGTTCACTGATTACACAGATGGTGGCTCCAATTGTGACTGGAGTGGCGATGATTCTGGTGGGGGCGGTGGGGGGAGTCTGCCCGCCGTGAGACATGGTCTAAAATGATGGCGGTGACGCAGGAGGATGGACCAGGGAGGTGAATGAAACTTCCTCATTACCAAGGAATGTGCTTTGTTAGCCTAATTGCCTCTCATCTGCACTGTATATATTTTATGCATGAACAACTTCCCGATGTAGAGATGGGATTGATAAAAAGCCTCAGTAAAAAGGAAAAATTGCCCTTAAAACCCTACCCAGATGTAGCTGCATTCAATTGAGCAAGATAACACTGGGTCAGATAAGGGTCGGCCAGTCCCACAATGGTGAGGGGCTGGGACGTGACAACCGGATCTGGATGTGTTGCTGGGACAATAGGGACCCGGCAGAAGCTGACACATCCCGCCCCCAGTGCCACATTCTCCAAGCCATCAATCATGGTGGCTTAAGCTGAAGATCAAAACACATTGAAATAGCAAAGTGATTTCAAAGACTTTATTATTTTTTTCAGATAGATTGCAATAAATATCCAGATTTGGCAGATAAAGATCTCTGTGCTCTTTTGGTGCAAACTTGAAAGGCTGGCTCGTAAGTAGGGAAGAGGATTGGAAAATAAATGAAGCCAGAATTGTTAAAAGTGGTGAGGAAAGAAAAAGCTTTAGGGAAAAGAAGAGGATCATCCTTTTTTTTTTTTTTTTTTTTTTTTTTTTGTGCGAGAGAATATGTGTCTCATTTGCAGGAATCTCAAGTTTAGATTTTCAAAATAGAATAACCATCCACTTCAAGAACGATAATAAATAGAATGGAGCCAAACAACTGTTCCTTGTCTATTAAGAAGTCCACAGAGGACTTCTT